TTAATAAATCATTAGCTCATCCATGAACATGATTTCAGCCCGAGTCCCGTCGGATTGCGTCGGCTGTGGGGATGAAGACGACAACTCCCATGATTCCACACTCACTCACGGCGTCATCAAACTACTCCTTTGTTTCTTTGTTTATTTTGAATAAGCGCCCTCTAGCGGCGAAAATTACATATTGTGCCTTTAACCCATTAAATGTGGGCCTAGTTTTGTTTGCATAAGTGAATGTATATAGGTTGGTTCAGTAATGTGAAATAGGCCTAATATTTTTGACTATAATAAAACCAGTGAATTTAAATGTGCAACAGTTGGGTTCTGGAAGTAAAACTCATTACTCATTTTCTCAACAGGGAAATTTATATTTAATGATAACTTGCAAATCTTTGTGAATGCCGACATTGTTAATCAATGGCATATGCATTTGTTGAAGCCATCTGTGCATTTTATTTTAGCTTATTTTTAAAAATAAATGTTTAGCAGCAGAAATCATGGTGTAAAAACTACATTACCCAAGATGCTGGATGAAAATTACACCAATTGCCAAAAGGTCTCTGCAGGGAACGCCCTCTCCCGTGAAACACAGTATTTTAGTGATTGTAAAATACTTAAAGAGATAGCTCACCCAAAAATGAAAATTCTGTCATTAATTACTCACCCTCATGTCGTTCCAAACCTGTAAGACTTTCGTTCCTCTTCAGCACACACATTAAGATATTTTTGATGCATTCCGAGAGATCTCTGACCCTCCCATAGACAGGAGATTGTTACAAAAAGTATTGTCACAAAAGTATTCTCGTAGCTTCGTAAAATTATGGTTAAACCACTGATGTCACATGGATTATTTTAACGAGCTCCTCCTTGCTACGTTTCTGAGCCTTGATCGTGTTAGGATCCTTGCTGTCTATCGGAGGGTCAGAGAGCTCTCGGAATTCATCAAAAATATCTTAATTTGTGTTCTGAAGATGAACAAAGGTCTTGCAGGTTTGGAACGACATGAGGGTGAGTAATTAATGACAGAATTTTCATTTTTGGGTGAACTATCCCTTTAAATATTTTATGTGTGCCTTGCAATAAGTTTAAAATATATTGTTTTTATGGACATAATCATCAACTTTAAACACATTCATTTTATATTTCACCATTGTTTTCAATTTGATTGTCTTTCGCAATGCTTCATGGGATTGTTGTTCTTTTCTTCACTAACGCCGCTAAGTACACACCTACACAGTCTTAAATACTTTTTTGCTTCAAGTAAAAGTTTGTATGTTATGATTCACCTTGTAGCTAGTTGGCTTGGTTCATGGCTTATAACACTTAAATGAAGACTTTTTTAAAATCCCTTTGATAAATATGTATAGAAAAAAAAACATCTGAAAAAGTGGTCAGGCACTAATGCACTCTTTTCCGAATTCAGCTGCTGTTTTGAGTCTGTCACTGAATCAGTGACTTGATTTCAGTAATGCTCTGCAATTTTAGAAAAATAGATGTGAGTTTTCTCATTTCTGTCTCACTCTTTCTACAAATCTCTTTCTAGATTAGATAGGCCTCTGTTCACTACTTAGGTCATGAACAGCTTGTTTATTAACAAATTGTTGAGTGAATGATTAAAGGGGTAGTTCACCCAAATATTTGCTGAAAGTTTACTCACCCTCTGGCCATGCAAAGATGTAGATGAGTTTGTTTCTTTATTGGAACATTCGTAAAAATGTATCATTACATGCACTTCAGTGGATTCTCTGCGGTGAATGGGTGAGAGTTTAAACAGCTGATAAAAACATCACAATAATCCACAAGTAATTCACACAAAGTCATCTCACCTGAATCAGTAGAGAAATATGCACAGATCAAGTACTGTTTCCAAGTGCAAACTGTTCTAAACAAATAGGCCAGTGGATTTTGATGTGAGACGACAACAGGGGATGGACTTTTTCACTAGAGGAAGCATAATTATGGATTATGCGATGGTTTATGATGGATTTGTTTCTTACAAACACGCAGCTTTTCACTTCACAAGATGTTAATTGATGGACTGGAGTCGTGTCGTGTGGATTACTTGTGGAATATTGTGGTGTTTTTATCAGCTGTTTGGACTCTCATTCTGACGGTACCCATTCACCGCAGAGGATCCATTGGTGAGCAAGTTATGTAATGCTAAATTTCTCCACATCTGTTCGGATGAGGAAACAAACTCATGTACATCTTGGATGGCCTGAGGGTGGGTGCATTTTCATTTTTGGGTGAGCCTTTCCTTTAAAGGGGTCATATATGATGCTATTTAAAAGATCATTATTTTGTGTATTTGGTGTAACAGAATATGTTGACATGCTTTAATGTTCAAAAAACACATTATTTTTCAAATACTGTACATTATTGTAGGTCCTCTATGCCCCGCCTCTCTCAAAGGGAAAACTTGAAATCGCATCATATGACCCCTTTAATGAATCACTCACACAACTTACTGCCTAACAGTCTACTGGCATAACAATGTAACCTGCAGAAAGGGTTACTGAATCAGTGAATGAATCAGAACAGATCATCTGAATCAAAGGATTCAAGTCATTGGGATTTCTAAAAATCCTTTTCTACTAATGGAAGCAGCAAGTAAATATGAGTTGACGGCTGATGTAACATTTTATGGTGCGGATGTAAGAACTACAATTACACAACAGTAATAATAACTCTACACATTACTATAATATCCAGTATTATGTATATATTTTTACACTCATTACATTCAGAATTCTTTGGCTTCATGTGACTCCTTAGCGGCTCGTTTCTCATCTCTCTTGCCTCTGCACATTACTTTTACTCACAGCAACATGCATGTATCGCCTTTTTCCACAGTCATTATACTCACTGCCTCTATGATGTGTCCTCTTCTTGTCACTATTAAGTGGCTCCTTAGCGGCTCTTGTTTCATTAGCTCACAGGATGCCGTCTCTGCAGACACTATTGTCATACATAATCAGCACTAGCACAGAGCAAGAGAACTCAAATACCCTTTTTGTGAACGGGGGATTTATTCCAGGGTTTATTTTTGTATGTGTGTGGGTTGGATTGGGGGGAGGGGTATTTCCCCAGATGTCAACATCAAAATGTTTTTCCTTACATAGGAGCTTCCTGGTTCCTTTGCATCACCTTATCTGAGTCCCAGCCAACCTGACAGGTCAGTAATAGAGTCTTAAGGAGTTTCCTGTGGACTGACGATATGCACTATGAGTTTGCAAAAGATCGTACAAGAGAGTTTTGAAAGTCTTTTGATTAAAGGAATGTGGAATAATATAAACAGAGATAGATAAATAGATTCCTAAAAAAAAGCACCATTCATTATTTTATTTAATTGGTCATTATATTATTGTAAATGAAAATGGCTGTCGAAAATAAATTAAAATAGTTGTATTGTAATTGTTTTGTATTTGTATAGCTGTTTCAGTTTCTTTACAATTTCTTTACAAACATATTCAAATGCTATTTTGTGATTTTTGCTGTTATTGTGAGTTGTGTCTTCATAATGAGGCCGTGGTTAAGCTGTGGTATTAAATGGACCTTTTTGTGTTGTGTAGAATGATTGAAGAGGGAAGTAAAAGCAGCAAGTCCATGGTGGAGAAGAGACAGCTCTTCATGGAAATGAGTGAGTTGCTTTCAGAGTTAACAACACTTTCTGCACAATGCACCACACACATACACAGAGGCCTTGTCGAAATCTATTCGCCTTTCACTGCCACAGGGCAATAGACTGGCACATCTCTGGTTGGAAGGCAAAACTGATTTTGAGAAAACAGTAGAACCGGGTTGATGATGGTCCAAGTAAAACTGCAGTATAAAATGTCACAGTTGCTTTGTATGTTAAAAGTATATTTGTGCATGTCATAGATTACACATTTTTGAAAGCATAGGTCACTCAAAAATACTCAGCCTCATGACGTTCTGTATGACAATTTTTTTTTCTTCTGTGGGACACAAAAGGTGGACAAATCACGTGGGCTGCTTTTATGAAATTTTGAAGGTCACATTTACAGATTCTCTACAAACTTTTCGTAGGTGAAATCTGTGCAACCAGGAGTTTCGCACGTGGGTGAAAATTCTCCATGCAGATTTTACATGTGTTCAAGTTGGTAACGTGCATTGACCAACAGAAAGCTGCTTGATTTGAAAGTGACGTCTGTGTGAAATCTAGCATAGCGTTAGTTCTGGCAGGTCACGTTAGTCAAGCTCGCATCAGCTGACTCTCAGCTGATCCCCATCAACCTATGGGAATACGACACCTATCTAAGCATTCATATATAAGGTCCCTCAGTATTATCAGCAGTTTTCGCATTGCTCAATAGCTAATTATACTCCTCCATCCCCAACTCCTCCTCTGTCAGTCAGGATTCAGGCTTCTGATTCTCCTTTGAATCAGACTAATTCTAAAATGTGTACATAACATTATTGAACTTTAACGATATCTGCAATACATTTATGTTGGTTCTGTTCTGTTTACCCTGGGGGGGTTATCGCTGCTCTCCCTGCTCTCATCCATGCTAGGCTGCATGGATGCGCAGGGAGTTCTTGCCCAGAACAGAACCATACCGCCAATCCAAACTGTATGCTAATTGTCAATCATCTTTGACGATAGTGGTCCTGACAGAACTGTGCTTTATATATTGCTACACTATATTGACAATAGACGATGGATCTTTTTTTGCTCATGAAATTTTACTAATGAGACTAGACTGTGCCTTTATGGCGGGGGATTTTTTGTCATTTTGCAGCTGGACAGCAGGGATCCCTTTTATGAATAAAAGTTATTTATTGGAATGTATGGTTCTGTCAAAGAACCTTTAATATCCATGGAAACTTTTCATTGCGCGAAAGGTTCTTTATAGTACAAAAAGGTTCTTTGGATTAATAAGGGTGTATTCACACCAGGAAAGTCCGCTAGTTCACTTGCTTTGGTCTGGACCAAATACAATGTTTATTTTTTTTGTTTGGTGCGGTTCGCTTTCACACTGCCCTTTTTGCAAGTGAACCAGAAACTGTAAACAAAACCACACGTGTGCTTAAGGTCATCCATTCATTGGTTTATCCATTCAACCGTACCAGAGTTTGTTTGGAAGCGGACCGAGACCACCTCTTCAGCTGGGTCTCGGTACGGTTGTTTGGTCCGCACCCGAGTGCGATTCTTTTGGACACCTGCCCAAAAGATCCGCACCAAGGGGGGAAACGAGCTTGAGTTCAATTCAATCTAACCAAACAAGACAGGTGTGAATACACCCTAAAATGTTGTTTACACTAAGAAAAAATTGTTCTTTTTTGGGTGTTCACACTTGTAGTTCAGTTCGTTTGGTCCAGACCAAAAAGGAAAATGATACATTTGGACCTGGTCCGCTTAGCGTTCACATTGGCATTTTTGACAGCGAACCTAAAGACACCAAACCTAAAGGCATAGTAATACGTTCACAACCTGATTGGTCGGCTTGAATGACGTATATATCGTGACGGAACTCACCGAACACCCCAAACAAAAGGTGCGTTAGACTTAAAGCGGCGCTGCGGGTGTATGATATCAAAGCACCCATTCACCGATCGGTCTGCTCGCTTTAAGTCGAACACACCTAATGCAGTCTGCTGGACTAAGTGCGCTCATTCTTGAGTGTACATATATTTTATTTTATTTTCACCACCTGCAAACTCACAAGGAGCTCATAAAAGGCACTTTACCTCATCGTTGTTCCACGTTTGCCCTCTGCTCATTTTGTTTTGGTTACACCGCGTCGTCAAATCATGTCGCATAGCGTCGCATCTTGTCATTACTTCCTGTTTTTGGTTCGTTTAGAAGTATTTGGTCCGTGTTGCTTTCATATATCGTTCGAACCGCACCAGAGTTCGTTTGGAAGCGGACCGAGACCCATCTTTTCAGCGGTCTCGGTCCGTTTGTTTGGTGCGCACCAGGGTTCGGATGGCAGTATTCACACTTACTCAAACGAACCGCAGTAACAGAGCAATCGCACCAGAGTTCGTTTTAATCGAACCAAACATGACAAGTGTGAAATCACCCTTAATAACTGTTCACTGAAAGGTTCTTCAGAGCACCCAAAATTATTCTTTAATGGCACTGCTGCAAAAAAACCTTTTGTAACCTTCATTTTTATGAGTGTATTCACTTTCTTTATGTGGACAAGAGCAGCCAGTACATTTTTCAACATTCCTGTGTTCCTTTTAAATAAGAAGGTCATACAGGTTTGGAACAACATGACGGTGAGTAAATAATAGGGGTGGGAAAAAAACAATCGATTCTCTGATTCATCGCGATTCTGGATTTAGGATATGCACTGTGAGAAACACGTGCTTTGCTTGAAATTGTGCGGTTTCACTGGTATTTCAGTTTTTCTGTTCCAAATGCTCTGCGAAGGCATAATTTTTGCCATTTGGAATGCAATGTAAATGTGATACATGAAACTCACTGCACTAGCATCTCAAAAATGCTTTTATGATGCAAAATAATGTAATGCAAAAAATAATGTAAACACAATCAATTATGTCTTAAGGACAGGACAAAACATCTGATATGTTAAAATAAATCTGTGCATTAGTGTGAATGCAAACTATTAAACCTGCCACTGTTTATGTCTTTAGTAATATATGGATTATATTTCCTTGAATGTTTTGAAGGTATATTTAGTTGATTACAATTCTTACCATACAATGATTTTATTTATTATCAATCTGTAGTTATTTTAAAAAGTACTAAGTAATATTAATAAAAGTGCACTCAAGAATCAGATGCCTAAATATTCCCAACCCTAGTAAATAATGGCAAAATTAGAATTTTGGGGCAAACTATAAAATGGTGTAAGGGACTTTGCAATGTGAAAGTAACAAAACTGATGCATGTCATTTTCACCAGGGGCACAAAACTTTGATGTTATTCGCCTCTCAACGTATAGGACGGCATGTAAGCTACGATTTGTTCAGAAACGATGCAACCGTAAGTCCTGTCACCATTTATTTTAAAATACCATTTTGTGTCGTACAAAGCCACTTTGGTTGTATATCATGTAAATTTGTACTTGTATATGAAAAACAACAAAACATATCCATTCCGTATTTTTAATGATCTCACTGGTGTGCTTTTCCTGTCGTAGTTCATCTAGTGGACGTGTGGAATATGATCGAAGCTTTCCGTGACAATGGGTTGAGCACGTTAGACCACAACGTGGAGATTAATGTGTCACGTCTGGAGACCATTTTGTCCTCCATCTTCTACCAGCTCAACAAGCGGCTGCCCACCACCCACCAGATAAACGTGGACCAGTCCATCGGCTTGCTGCTAAACTTCATCGTGGCCACTTATGACAGGTGTGTTGTCAGTGAGGGAGATTTGTTTTTCTCTCAGGGGGTCCCTTGTGGCAGTATGTCCCTGCAAACCTGATGGACTGTGAGTCATATGCATCGTGACAAGAGTGAGTGTTTGGAAGGCATAGGCTCTGTTCCAGAACATAGTGAGCTGCCTACGGAGGCAGCATTTCAAGACACTGAAAATACATTAATAAGGTTGAGGCTATAAGGTAGGCAACCTAATTACATTGCAAAATTCTAAAAGTGCAGTCACATTTACCGATTCGCAAGCAAAATCCAGTCAGTTCAATAGATATCCACTCGGATCTGGAATTTCAATTGAGGATTTTGCAACGGGTTGACGTTGGTCACATGAATTCAGCGCTCTGACCCGCAGAGAAAGCTGCTTGGTCTGAAAGTGTCTTCTGTGTGAGCTGTGCCTCATACATAGCTGCACTATTGACTAATAGACAATGCATATAAGATTTCACCAAAATTTTGCTAATGTGCATTGTGATGATCTAACTGAAGAAAAAAAAAGAAGAAAATATAAAAATAGTTTAAAATGATCAAAACTGAGAATTTTCCCCCAAATTTTCTTCTTGCATCAGTATTGCTGCCTATGTAGAGCGTACTAGATTGGCCACGTATAAGATGACTGATATATATATATATATATATATATATATATTTACATTTAGTCATTTAGCAGATGCTTCTATCCAAAGCAATTTACAAATGAGGACAATACAAGCAATGACAACCAACAAAAGAGCAATAATATGTAAATGCTGTGACAAGTCTCTGTAATAGTTGCGTATGAGTCCCTCAGTTATCCTCAGTGTGAAAAGAAATGGATCTCAAAATCATACAGTCATTGTTGGAAAGGGTTCAAATATGCAAAAGATGCTGGAAAACCAAAGAATTTGTGGAACCTGAAAGATTTTTCTGACTGTAAAGACAATGTCCCCACAATAACAGGCTGGTGTAAAACCAATAAATCATTCATTAAAGAACGTCATGCAAGTTTACTGCAACAATGTTTACTTCAACAATACAACAAAATTCTATTGCGTAACCTTCACATACTTTTGAGAATCCAGCAGGTGATCCTGATAAGCCATCATTGTCACAGATGGCACAATGGCTCCAAAGAAATTTCAATTATGGTTTGCTGCACGAATATTTTCATATTTAAAATTTAAGCTAAACACATCAACACCTAATGAAAGTCAAGAAGTAACAAACCGTTACACACACACACACACGCACGCGCGCGCGCACACACACACACACACACACACACACACACTAGGGCGTCAAATTGGCTAGAAACGGCCCTGCGCACACACACACACACACAAAGAAGATGGTGCACAGGGACTGAATGAATGAAATGAATTGGTGAGTCAATTTTGAACTGGTTCATTTACATGAATTGTTCAAACGAACCAATTCACTAAAATGAATCAGACTTTTCAACACTAAAAATTAGCTAGAGGACATTTTAGCTTCATATGCACAATGTGAATAAAAAGGTGATGTAGTTTTTTGTCATTCTACACTTTTGCCTGTTGCAAAATGTAGCTAGCAACTGAATAATTTACCATATATACTGTAAAACAAAATCAGGTACAGAAAAAACATAGTTAATGTAATATCTACTTACTTTCAAATTAAAACCCATAAAAACCAGGGAATAATAATAATAAGTTTTGGCTTTCAGGTTGTGGGCCTTGTAACAATATCAACATTATGTACATATTCTGTTTACACATACATTTCCAAAAGATTGTCTATAAGAGTACGAAATTTGGTGTAGTCCAAACATGTAATTTACAGAATTTTATGGCTTAGGATTGCTATGACACGTCTTCTGATAATGTGTTGTTTGTGTTTCAGTGAAGGCCATGGGAAGCTCACAGTGTTTGCTATGAAGGCAATGCTAGCTACGATGTGTGGCGGTAAAATACTGGACAAATTACGTTGTAAGTATCATGCCTATAATACAGCTATTCAGCAGTTATTTTACAAAGACACAATAGATATTTTCTGTCATAAAGTGGAGTTCATATGATGTATAAGGCTTAATTGTTGTTGATTAGCATTGAATCTATGGAAGTAGTCATTTTGCTGTCTTCTTTTTGCTAAATAGTTACATTTCTCTCTGCTAAACTGTCAGTATTACTCAATTTTAAAGACTGTAAGCTCATACAAAGTTTTATAATATGAAATAAGTGTATTTAAGTCTATTTTATATACACATGCTTTTATTTTAAAGTAACATACAAAAAGGGCTGTTATGCCAAAAAGTTTCACTGAGGGTTTGGCTCCCTCTTCTGTACATAATGTGTACTATACTCAAAATTACATATAAAATGTTTTCTGGATACTCATTTAAAGTTATTAAAAGGCATCTCAGATTTAATAATAATAATAGTAATAATAATAATACTAGTAATGTGTTTTCATCCCACAAGTGTCTTTTAGCTGTATAGACAGTTCTGGTCAGAATACTTTTGCATCGTTTGATGAAAATACACCAATCAAAAGTCAATTCATCACATTAGCTTGGAATTTTTTTGTGAAATAATAATGTATTTTACCCAGATATGTTTTCCATTTCATGGATTTTATTTTTTATTATTATTTTTTTTTTATAGTTACAACTTGTAAATTTTAGGGATGCAAATTTGTAATTTCTTTTATAGCTCCACAACAACGAGCATAAATTTATCATTCTTATTGGTGATGATTAATGATAATTATTAGACTTCCTTATGCATTATAGATAATATGTAAATTAAGCATTCGTTCTGAATAGTTTGTTCTTAAATATTTATCCATGACAACCCAATTGAAAAATAAATATACTAAAATGTATTCGAAATACATTTATTTCATGCTAAGTATACTAAAAATAAATTTACCGGTACATACTTAATAAAAATACATACATACTTAATGAAAATACCCTGCAATTGTACTTTTGGTAAACTAAACTGGTATATTTAAGGTCTTACTTAATAAACTTTAATTGTGCGGAAGTAGTGCTGAAGTCCATCTAAAGATATGCTGAAGTATATTTGATTGTGCTAAAGTGGAACTATTGCAAGTATACTTCAGGTACACTTTAAATGTCTTGCGTTTGAAGACCGATATTGTACAGAGATCATACAATCCTTATTAATAGTGATATTAATACACATTTCAGGCATAATATTAAGAAATATGCATTGTGCACAAGTTTAATTATAATTTTTATATCATTAAGTCTCAAGTGATATGTCAAAATATGTTAACAGATTTGAACTATACTTAGTATGAAATAAATGTGTTTTTAATATATTACTTTTTTACTAGGGATAACATAACTCATCTCTCTTTCAGATATATTTTCCCAGATATCAGACTCAAATGGGGTGATGGTCTTTGCCAAATTTGACCAGTTCCTGAGGGAAGTGTTGAAGCTCCCCACGGCGGTGTTCGAGGGGCCGTCATTTGGCTACACCGAGCACTCTGTGAGGACATGCTTTCCTCAGCAGGTGAGTACACTAATCTGCTTCAAATAGCAGCAAGAGTCCCTTTAAAACGATCAGGATCTCATTCAACCTGTCTGGGAGTCTTAGAGGCTTTCACTAAGACTGTCTTATCTGTGCTTTGCCAGAAGAAGATCTTGCTGAATACGTTTTTGGATGTGTTGATGGCAGATCCACCCCCGCAGTGCCTCGTATGGCTACCTCTCATGCACCGACTCGCTAATGTAGAGAATGGTACGTGGCTTTTTTATCTTATTTCCCATCACCCACTGCGTCTGGACACCTCGCTCACAAAATATGGCTCAGTTAAAACGCGGTTTGTGACTGTCTGAGAGCCTTTGTGCTGCTGTCCCGCAGTCTTCCATCCAGTGGAATGTTCTTATTGCCAGAGTGAGAGCATGATGGGTTTCCGCTACCGCTGCCAGCAGTGCCATGGCTACCAGCTTTGTCAGAGCTGCTTCTGGCGTGGTCATGCCAGTGGTCCCCATAGCAACCAGCACCAGATGAAGGAGCACTCCTCATGGGTATGTAGCGTTAGTTCACCCAAAAATGGAAATTCAGCCTTCATTTACTCACCCTCATTTCATTCAAACCTGTATTAATTTCTTTCTTCCAAGAGACACAAAAGAAGATGTTATGTAGAATATTCAAGCTGATCTTTAGCTTATAATGAAAGTCGATGATGATTTAAAATGCCCTAAAATGACAAAAGAAAAAAAACAAAACATAAAGTTGCATGATTAGAATACTTATACAGTATATTCATATTCATATACTATATTCAGTGTGTTCAGTGGGTTTGTTAGAGCAATAGACCAGAACTGAAGTCATTAATCACAACAGATCTCAATTATGCAGTCTAAGGTTTGACAGAAATTCTTGTCCGAAGAAATTTCTGGACATATTAAAATAGGAAGCCAATATTAGAAATTACAATAATATTTCACAATATTACTGTTTTTTTCTTCGTATTTTTGATCAAATAAATACAGCCTTAATGAGCATAAGATACTCCATAAAAAAAAAAATTTTTTTTAAATCTTACTGATCCCAAACTTTTTAACGGCAGTGTAAAGTTCAAAAGAACAGCATTTATTTGAAAGAAAAATATTTTGTAACACTATAAATGACTTTACTGTCACTTTTGATCAATTTAATGCATCCTTGCTAAATAAAAGTAATTATTTCTTTCCAAAAAAAAAAAAAGCAATCATAAGGACCCCAAACTTTTGAACAGTAGTGTATGTGTTCAATAGCAGAATTGTTTGGCCATGAGTGAGGGATGGATGAGCAGCAAGTCTTTTGTTTCCTGTTAAACGTCATTCTTCGTTCGTGTTTTACAGCGAGTGAGTTATATTGATTACATTTTTAATACTCAAGCGTTGTTCCAAAGCTCAGTCACACTGCTAGAAATCACAGCTCGGGAAAGGATTCGCACTGCCTCCCAAATCCAATTATAAGAGTTTTTTCCCCCCTCATTCTTACCACCTCGATAAAGATTTATTTTTCTAACCACAGAGCAAGGATTTTGCTGAATCAAAGAAATTTTTTCATTAACTTTAAATGAAATGTATCACATATATCTCTCCATTAAATTATATAAAATGCTCTAGCATCACATGGGAAGTATGTCTGCGATTTTTATGTACAGAATAAATGCGCATTAATTCCCTCTTTATGCATATATTTGAATTGCATTTGATTTGGTTAGTTAAGTACATGTAAGGTATTGTATTTAGTATTTATTTTGAACTTTGCGGGATTTTTTTCACTCATTTTACAGAAGTCTCCAGCAAAGAAGCTCAGCCATGCCATCAGTAAATCTCTGGGCTGCATGCCGATGGGAGAGCCGCCTCACCCTGTGTTCCCAGAGGCAGCGGAAAGACCTCAGGACCTCGCACACACCACGTAAGAGTGCTTATCCAATCCAATTTCTCTCTGCTATCTCAGCTCTGTACGACATATACATTCCAAACCATTCATTCACTGCATTTCTGAGGAACTTTGAACAAACAGCTCGCATTTGCTACAGCATAAGAACGCAAAGTTGATCCAGACGGGGCTTACGGCTTTATAAGGTGTTACTGTTTCTCGATACTGTTTCTTTACATTTATATAACAATCAGGTTGTAATTGTAATCACGTCCTCTTGTCTGAAATTCCACAGTATTTGATTCTTATTTCTATAGCGAGAGCGAATATTGATCTGCAGATCTGTCATGGGAAAGAAATGTAATTAGGAAATGCCAAGAAGAAAGATATTGTGTGTAGAAATATATGGGTACAGTTTTCTCGTTTACTGAATTATAAATATCGGGGAGCTGAGTCAATCTTGCCAGACCTTCGCTCTAAGGAACAGGCCCTGGTCTATAAGTACTTTCATTAACTGACACATGAACATAAAACTGCAGAACATATGTGCCCTCCTCTGGAGGGAAAGTGTAGCAGATTTACTGTGTTCATTTATTTTGCTGATAAAGTACCAGCGTTATTTGATTATGAGCCCATATAAAGTATTAACAGCTCGGAGAACAATCGCATGATTTTATAATATCATGCTTGTAGTTTTTGAACTGTGGGTGAGGAAAATGAACAGCAGTAAAGCATGTAAGACTGCACCTCATGATAATTCATTTTAGTCAGTTTTTGTCTTTTAATTTAGTCAATATTTTGTTATATTCATCAATTTTAGTCTAGTTTATCATGACATCTCATTTTAATCAATGAATATGTGCTAAATACCTTAGTGAAAATATACTAATATGTATTTGAAATACATTAATTTTGTGCTAAGTATACTATAAATACATTTACATATTTATGTGCTTAATAAAAATACTTTTGGCATAAACTGGTATATTTAAAGTCTGCTAAATTGAAACAACTAGGATTTTTTACTAGGGTAATCAAAAATTAATAGTACATTTATAATAATGTATGTTTATAGAACGAAATAATACTTTTGTTCAGTAATGATGCTTTAATTTGATCAAAAGTGACAGTAAAGACATTTATAATGTTACAGATTTGTGATCCTGGAACACAAAAACAGTCATAAGTCGCTGGGGTATATTTTGTAGCAATAGCCAACAATACATTGTATGGGTCAAAATGATCGATTTTATTTTATGCCAAAAATCATTAGGGGTCATATGATGCGATTTCAAGTTTTCCTTTCTCTTTGGAGTGTTACAAGCTGATAGATAAGATCCCTGAAGTTGCAAAGACTAAAGTCTCAAAACCAAAGAGATATTCTTTATCAAAGTTAAGACTCTGCCACGCCCCCTTAAACGGCTCGTTCTAACACGCCCCCACATACTTTTACTAGGGTAATCAAAAATTAATAGTACATTTATAATAATGTATGTTTATAGAACGAAATAATACTTTTGTTCAGTAATGATGCTTTAATTTGATCAAAAGTGACAGTAAAGACATTTATAATGTTACAGATTTGTGACCCTGGAACACAAAAACAGTCATGAAAAAAAGTCGCTGGGGTATATTTTGTAGCAATAGCCAACAATACATTGTATGGGTCAAAATGATCGATTTTATTTTATGCCAAAAATCATTAGGGGTCATATGATGCGATTTCAAGTTTTCCTTTCTCTTTGGAGTGTTACAAGCTGATT